CTGACAAAGTTTCAATCGCATGGTATCGGTTCCGTCTTCACAAACAGGACACACTTTTTCACCTTTAATGCTATACCCGGATAGATTGCCGTATGCTGGAAAATCGTTAATTGTTCCAAACAACATCGCCCTCAAGTTGAAACTTTCTTTCCTATAACCATCATAAACCTCCACACCGTTCTCCCACAAAATCTTCAAATCTTCGATTAATGGTTCCAAGTATACGTCTATGTCATTTCCTGGTTGTTTAGGCCCAGAAATTAACATAGACAACATCATGTACTTATGCTTCATACATAGCCATGGAGGTAGGTTATAAATCATAAGAATCACAGGCCATGTGCTATGCAAGATACTTTGAATACCGTGTGGGTTCACTCCATCAGTAGACAATGCCAAGCGAAGGTTTCTTGCTTCTTTTCCAAATTCAGGATAATCATTATCAATTTTCATCCACTGTGGAGAATCTGCCGGATGTCGAAATTTTCCATCAATAATTCTTTCATCTGAATGCCAAGTCAATTGTCTTGAATCGGTTTCACTATGATACATCCATCTAAATCTCGGGATTATAGGAAAATACCATAAGACTTTTGCCGGAGACAACTTTTTCTTATATCGAGGGGCACCGAATTTAGGACACTCATTTAACGATGCATACTCGTTTCGAAACAAAACGCAATCTTTTGGACACGCATGTATCTTATCATAGCTCATGCCAATGGAGTACAACATCTTTTTGGCCTCATACGTTCGATTGGGAAGAACATTATCCTCTGGTAGCATATCTTTCATAAGGGCTAATAACTCTGTGAAACTTTTATCCGACCATCCATTGCCGGCTTTTAAGTTGTACAACTTTAACACCGCAGACAATCTTGTGAATTTTGTACAACCATTATACAACGGTTTCTCTGCATCGCTTACCAACCTCTCGAACATTTTGGGACAATCGTTAAGATCTTCTTCAAGCGCTTCTGCAATTTCTTCGACTCGATCATAATCGTATGTATCTGTGCAATCATCATTTGAAACATAGGTCCTTGCATACCCCGATTCAACATTCCCGTTACTTTTCTCACCATGCATATTCCAACATGTATAACTCCTATCAATTCCATACCGAATTAAATGCGATGCCAACTGAACTGCGTCAACCCGGTTCCCATAACAGCAATACAAACAGGGACATGTCATACGACTGGGGTCTTTGGCGTGCGCAACAGCAAACTTAACAAACTCGGAAACACCATTCTCGTAGTCTTTCGACAATCGATTGGAATACATCCATGTCTTATCCATATCAACTAATTAGTGCACAAAACAGTAGTATACTGCGTTTCTGTCAAAACGCAAAGTATACACGGAATGAATCCGTATCAAGAAAATGCAACATACGAAAGACAATTTAAGACAAATTCATTACAATATATACCAGTAATTTGAGGAAGAAAGTTACCTCTCAGATGTTTCGAACTCTAAGAAACGCGGAGAATGAGCGTCGTACGTCGAACTAGGCCGGGAAACGCTGCAATTTCATAGAATGTTATTCAATATTTCGGATCGATTGTCGAAAGATATATACTATTTTAACATAAAGGTTCACCATAAATGTCACATATATATTTTCAATGTTTGGGAAAGCTATGACAATAATACAACACAAATATTAGAAATAGTGAATTCACAAAGGCAACATAAGGTTGATGCGATGAACTGATACTATTAAATAAATGCTTCACACGATTCACCATATTTTTAGTAACAAGTTCATATATCACATTGCATATGGAAATAGGATGAAATGGTTTAAGATACTCAGACTAGAAATGGGGCAGCATTGTTATCATAACACAAGTTCATCGGAAGTTGCTAACGGAAACAAGAAAATTAAGCATTAACATTCACGAAAGATTCAATTAAATGCGGATAAATGTCAAACTAAAAATTAAGGCGAAATATGTACATGGAACCAAGTCCGGACAACATATTTTATTCACAAAAACGCACATAAAATTAGTTCTGAAATCAATTGAAATGGTACTGGTGTTTGACAATTACCAAAACAAACTATTCTAAACGATTAGAAATAATTAATTGAACAATTTTCATGGTCTTCTAATACCGGACAACCTTATACCTCAATAAAGAGTGGCTTGAAAAACCTCAACAAAAACGGTGTAACTCAATCGCATTAATCCACAAACGTAACAAAATGCAAGAATAGGCATCAAACAATTTTAAAGTTCAATTGACAAGGTATTCAAGAGTTCTGGTATAATTCGACATCCAAAAGTTATCAACAAAATTTATCCGGATTCAACATCAAACTCACCAATTCACCATGATTTGATACCAACAGCCATGAACTAACATGAATCTAACATTTATACTCTAGACTCTTGTTCTAAAACAAAGATACTCATCAATCAACCTATTCCTCTTTTCATCCTTTTTACACTGTTCAAGAAATCAAGACTTATGCATATTCAATAATTCAAATATATCATGAATTTTCAAGAACAAAGTTCAACACAATTCAAGAATCATATAATTGTTTAACAAGTCAACTTCAAGAATCACACCCCAATATTCAATTCAATGTCAAATTTACTCATGAAATTAAAACTTTGTTCAATTCAACAATCCAAAGTTTAACCTAACTCATGAACATCCAACATAATTTCATTCCTAATTATCATCATCACCTTATAAACAAATGTTTCTAAGTTTTTAGTTGAACATAATTGATTTCAATCTCCGATAAAACTTGCAAGAAAAAAACAGCCCTGCTGAAAAGTCAGCATGGCAGTCTCTTGAATAGTTAAAATAGAAGAAAATACACCAGCACGGTTTTAACCGACCAAACTAAAACTACTCATGCATATGTTGTATCACATCCATTTATACAAACCATAATACATAAAATCATAGACTCTTTGATTTTAATGCATTGAAAATATTTAAAACATTGACAGCATTGAGGCATACAGAACTTGGATTGATCAATAACCGGTCAAAATACTAACCCAATAACCGGTCAAAATACTAACCCAATGATCAGCTGATCTGGTGGTGCCTTAACAAGATCAATCAAAAGTCTAAATTTAGAAAACTAACTAAATGGCCAACGAATGATCAGCTGATCCAATGCCTTGGATCCTTGATCCAATCAGTTCTCAGCCGATCAAATCAAAGTTTAAAAACACACAAACTGATATTAAGCATCTCGCAAACCAGATTGAATTGTCCACTAGTGTGTTACTCTGCTACACAAAATATGCTAAACTGGGGGCTCTCCTTAATACAGTCTCACCAATGATAAAAAATGTCTTAATATATAAACTCACATGCTTTTATCCAAAGTCAGTGTTTTAAGCTTTTATACAAAATCGGTGTTTTAAGCAAACTCTAATGCTTTTACTTAAAATTTGTCTTTCTATAGTAAAATAGAGGAGCTAGTAACCAATCTGAACCGTCCAAATCTAATAATTAATTCTATGGTTAACTGGAACTAAACCTTAGTGGAAGCAACATTTACCATCCCTCCTTAAACATTACTCATAATCAATACTGGAAGAAAAGCTAGCCCAAAACTCCCAAGAACACAACAATGAATTTCATTGAACCAATTTAAGGCGATTCTAAGTCAACATAAAATATTTCTGATGGAAGACAAAAGTTATTTCATAAACTTCTTTAAAATAGTTAATAAAAAAACTTCCTTAGATCAACTCAATCAGAAACATTTTAAAGAAGTTTTCAAGAAACCTGTAGTTTCTGTTAAACTAAATTGAGGTCATACACATTCATTAACAAGATGAACAGATAATGAAACAGATAATGGAAGAAGATAATGGAAGAAGAAGAAACTTACCAAGATGGAGAAGACGGAACGAACGGCGGCGACGACTGAAGAAGACAGAACGAACGGCGGCGACGACGAAGACGTAAGAAATGAAGAAGACGGAACGAACGAACTTACCAAGTGATGGCAAATATCAGATTTAGGGATTTTTAATTTAATTATAAAACAACCTACGAAAGCGCTTTTAAAAGCGCTTTCGTATGCCCCCCATATGAGAGCGCTTCTGAGATGAAAAGCGCTTTCGTATGCCCCCCATATAAGAGCGCTTTAGAAAGCGCTTTCGTAGGTCCCCCTTTCAGAGCGCTTTTATAGGGCCACCTATAAGAGCGCTTTTCAAAAGCGCTTTCGTAGGTTAGATATTTCAAATACCTAAGAAAGCGTTTTCTGAAAAGCGCTTTCGTAGGAAACCCTATAAAAACGCTTTTTTTAAGCGAATTTTTTTTAAAGGCTACGAAAACGCTTTCTCTTAAAAGCGCTTGCGTAGATGCGCTGTCAAATTTTTTTTTTTCCGTAGTGTTTAGAGGCAAAAGACAACATGACATTAGGAAAGAAACGATGGTTACCACCACTATTCTTTCATCATGTATTATTGTGGCAGTTTCACTTTAGTGTCTTTATTTATAGCTAATTCCCTATTAGAATTTTGAGAGGAGCATCTTGTATAACTATTTGATCTATATAATTGTATGTAGTCATTGTAGAAGTACTCTAATATAATTGTAGTGCTGATGGTGCATGAATAAATAAAATCCCCATGTGGATTAGCTTTTGGATTTTAAAATCTATTGTGATCATAAACATGATATATATATATATATATATATATATATATATATATATATATATATATATATATATATATATATATATATATATATATATATATATATATATATATATATATATATATATATATATATATATATATATATATATATATATATATATATATATATATATATATATATATATATATATATATATATATATATATAAATAAAAATAATAAGTCACGATTATAGACAAAGTTATATTTTAATGATTAGACTATTATTTAGTACATTTGAAAGGGATGAGTCTAAGACTTGAATCCTCATATACTGCACATAACCTCGAAAATGGTACTCACGTGATGGTGACTTCATTGATGCTTCATTTACATCTAACAGCACCTGCAGTAGCTGGTGTTTCTAGTAGTATCATTTTGCTGCTCAAGTTGTTGTTCGGTTTCAGATTCTTCAAAGATGAAGCACTTTATCAATCCAGGTTGTTTCTTTTTCAATTAGGTCAAATAGCTTTCAATAGTGAACCTCAAGTTTCATACTTAGCAAGAATGGAACGTGCTTTAACATTAATCTTTCCAACATATGCTACTGTCACCACTTCTAATTCAACTTCTTCACCATCAAATCACGAGTTGCAAAATGAACATGAGGAAATGTTCCATTCGCTTTCAATACTCACACTTTGATTATGTGATATCGCTTACTATGCTTAACAAAAATATCAGAAAAAACTTATGTATTTGAAATAAATTTTTCCAAATTTCTGTATGCTATTTTTATTTATGTTTCATTTATGAGTATCAGTTTGTCCTTTATTTACCCCTTATTTCACTGCTATTCAATGATAATCGAATTTAATGTTTAATAGATCTTTTTTATATGTGTTTTTATTTAATAAGGTTTATAACACAAGATATTTTTTACTTATAGTTTTTGAATTATACCGGTATATCATATCTTATTGCATATTCTCTACGCAAATATTTTGCAGATTAGATTTATGAATCTTCTTTACTCCTTTATGTGATAATCAGAAGCTTCCTAATCTAGAAGTCTTGAAATTAACTATTTTTAGGGCATAACTTTTTGTTGAAAGCTTACCTCGTTCCACATCCAAACAGATATAGTAGAAATTTTATTTGATTGAACTCAAGAAAAGATAAGACGAATTCTTTTAAATTGGTACTATTTTACAATACAACTTTCTTTATTTTGAGTTAAAAATATGTTGGATTGATTAAGCTCCTATATGTTTGTTTTCTTTACATTGGTGAGTTGGTGTAGTGTAGAGAATAGGGGTGTTCAAATCTAAATCAATCCAAATAAAAAACCGAAAATCGATCTAAAAAATCGAAAACCATAAAAAACTGAAAGTTATTGGTTGTGTTTGAATGTTATTTTATGAAAACCGATCGGTTCGGATTGAATTTCGGATGAATTTTTTAAAACCGATCCAAACCAAATCGAACCGCATAAATATATTTTGATACTTATTTATTTTTTATTAGTATGACATGTTATGTGAATTTATTATTAGATGATAATAATTTTTTTAATAATATTTATTAGTTTGGTATAATCTATTTATTTTTATTATTTCAAGTATAATCAATCACTCTCATTTTGTAATATTAACTTTTAATATACTATATGTTATATATTATATCAAATCTATGATTTATTAGTAGTTTTATAATATTAATAAAAATATAATATAAAATTTGGATATTCAAAAACCGATCTAAATTAAACCGCATAAAATTGGATCGGATCAGATTAGATTTTTTTAAATATATCATCCAAAACCGAATCGAACCTTAAGTGAATTAATCTTTGAATCAGATGAGTTTTTACTTTAAAACTGATCCAAACCGAACCGCGAACACTCTTAAGAGAGAATATGTAAAAGATGTAAAAGTGTGTGAGATCTAAATAATGCTCCAACAAGGAATTTTGTTTGAGTAAAAAGGCCATGTCAATAGTTGCTGTTGAATGACTTAAAACTTAGAACATAGACAATATACGAGCAATCTCATTGTCACTTGTAATATTTCTTTGAACATGGGGTTTGAACTATGTTGAATGACTCAATTTGACAGTTCTAGGTATGGAACGATTATGATTTTTTTTTTTTTAAGTATAAAAACAAATGTTATAGTTTTAGAGTTAGAGTTAGTTAATTTAATCAAAATTAATTAATTTGGGAGTTAATTAGTGTAATTGTATATTTGTTTTTTATTTTTACCCGTCTATGCGAGGTAACCTCATACTTGAGACACTTTGTATTTTTGTATTCATGAAGTAGAATAGATTTTGTATTCACGAAGTAGAATAGATGCTAAGAACATCCATTGGAATGTATTACATATATTTTCTAACCCGTTATCTTTTAGATCTTAAGTTGAGAGCCTACTCTAAAACTTGAATAAAAAAGAAGATGAAGAGGACATGACGATGATTGTATAAAAAAAATTTAAAGCTTGTGTAGATATACATTAAGTTTTATATTCGATTCATCACACCAATTTAATAAAATTGAATGAAAATGGATAACTCGGCAAATCTCCTTCTAGATATCTTAGAAACCTTGACACGAATTTCACACTCTTATCAAATGTATCAATATTGTTAGAAGTAATTTATGTTCGAAAGTTGTTGTTAGAGTCAACAACTTATGAGGATGAATATGTTTTTCTAGAAGCTCTGTTGTTCAGAAGCTATATGTTTCAGAATCTTACTCAGTGTAGCTGAGAAGTTGCATGTTCAGAACTTTGTTTCGAGTTTTATTAGCATAGTTAATTTTGCTTACGTGACATAGTTTCCTGACGTGTCATTTTTGTTGTATTTAAATAAGTTTGTTACAGTGAAATAAAAATTAAATTTTCACCATTGAGAGTTGAAGGTGTGAGAAATACAAGAAAGGGGGGGGGGGGTGGTGAATTAGGTTTCATCAAATAAAATCTTTTTGTTGGTGACAAAATAAGTATGCTTAGAACATAAAACAGTAAATGAACACAATGATTTATATCCTGGTTCGTTGTTAACTAAGCTACTCCAGTCCACCCTCGCAAGGATGATTTCTCTTTCAACAATGACTTAATCCACTATAATCAAACTGATTACAGAATAACCCACAACAAGTCTGATCAACCTTATTGACACCCCAATAAGTTTGTTGATCCTTATTGTAAATCAACTCAAGCTGCAGCATGAGTCTTGTTGAGCTCATACCTTCATTCAGTCTCTCAAGGTATCATTCAACAACAGTTTAGTACTTTCAGTGTATTACAGATTTGCTTCTTGTAAGCAGATTACACAGACTTTTCAGTACAATAAAGAACACTTAAGTGTTTTACTGCAAGATACGAGCAACAAATCCTTGCTTATTTACAAAACTATACATAGATAATTTCTCTCCAGAGTTTGAACATCGCTTTGGTGTAGTTTTGTTGAGCTTGATTTGAACCGATAAATTTGTCTTTGTAATGTAGTTTGTTACTTTTCTTCAGCTTCCAAGTCTTCCTTTTATAGCTTTTAAAAGAGATCCTTGAAATGGTAGAAAGGTAAATCGAAAATCTAGTTGTTGGTTCTCAACGGTTATAATGAGAGTAGTCACTGTCAAGTACAAAAGAACTGCTCTTGCGCCACTCTAGAAGAGTAGAGGTCACAGTCACTTTATGCACCTTTTGCACACTATCACACGTTAACCATTTTGAACTTTTTCTTCTTGATTTATAGAGACTTCAGATATTTGAATGTCGAACGTTGAAGCTTGTTGTAGAAGAATCTTTCTTAAGCCTTAGAACATAAGTCTCGGAGTCTTCAGAACTTGTCACATAGAACCTTGTCCTTAGAGTCTTCAGCACTTGGTTGTAAGAACTTCCTTTTTCTTTAGATCATCAGAACTTGTTCAGCAGAACCTTGTCTTCATAATCTTCAGAACTTGTAACACACAGAAGTAAAGCTTTAGAAGGCCTCCAAAGATAAACCACAAAGCCACGATCATAACTTCTTGTACTAATGTTCCTAAGAAACATTGCAGAAGATCAGTTTAGAACCTTGACTTTACCGAAACATGTAACCACATGTTTTCTTCCAAAGTCTATATTCAGAACCTGATGACATCACACGCCTTGTACCAGAGTCAGAACATTATATCAGCAGCTACACACTAGATAGAATCAATAGTGTATACAATTATTCTCTAATATAACATGTGAAGTTATCATCAAAATCTCAAGGTCAGATATAGGAAACACTTATTCTTCTTACAATCTACCCATTTATCATGATGACAAAATCATGTATTTTGATGGAACAATTTATACAGGGTAATCACTGTAATCAACAAATTCAGAGTTAAGCTCACAACTCCCTTTGAATCTGTTAAACCCAAAATTCTATTTAAGCTTGTTCAGAGTCTCCCCCTGAGCCCAAGACTCACAAAATAAATTTTGAGTATCAAAACATAAGAAATATAGAAGTAACACTTCTCTACAACAACTCATCAGATTCTGACTAGAATGCATGGTCTTCATCTCATAACTTGGTTTCTATCAGCAGTAGATGAAGAATCCAAACTTTATTTGAGTCTGATTGAATAATGCCACACATTATGTATCAGCGCTTTTGGGCCATGATTCTGATATCATAACCAAAACACTATGTTTCTCAAGCATCAGCGTTTGATCTGATACTTTCCATTATATCAGACATTCAGACCGTTCACAACATCTTAATATAGCGTACATTGTTGTAGCACATGTATCAGAGCATAAATTATGAGTGGCAATATCTGTATGAGAGTATGCATCAGAATGTTCACTTGACTTCCTTTCAGGAGAGCACAGCTTCTGAGCTTTGAGTCTGAATTTCATATTTTCATAAAGTTAACAACTTATAAATACTATGATATCAAGCAAGATTATCTTACTTTCAGTAAGTTTATAACTTCTGAATTGTGTTTGGTATATCTGTTTGAATATTCATATATTCACAAGATGTACAAAATCTTAGATATAAAATCAGAGTTGACTTTATCCATGCATCAAGATCTTCTTCTTCAGCCAGTCTAGATTTCATACTTTCAGAAAGTTAATAACTTCTGAACACTATGATATCAAGCAATATTACCTTACTTTCAGTAAGTTTATAACTTCTGAATTATTTTTGGTAAATATGTTTAAATATTCATATATTCACAAAGTGTACAACTTCTTAGATATGAGATCAGAGTTGGCATCATCCATAAGTTTTTCAACCTTTGCATTAGGATCTTCTTCATCAACTTGTCTTAGAATAAACTCAGTGAACTTGTTTAGAGTTCTTGGAATGAGACATCAAACAAACAGTTAGTAGCAACAACATTTTTATATGTTTGTTATGTGTTATCAAAATCATATTTTACTTTCTCCCCATTTTTCAGAAATAAAAAAGGTGATAGAAGGATAGAGAAATAAAATTGATAGATTATTAAGAGATTATAACAAAATCACTTAATGCTTATTAATTTTGTCTTTGTCAATAAAGCACGAATAATTAAAATATTTAATGTATCACAAAGAATATATGTAAGCAAACTTTTGAGAGATAGATATGCAACATAATATTTCTTGTTGATACTTTTTTTGGGATAAAAGATGACTTAGAGATAGGTCGATGACAACAGTATTTTGACCAATAAGAC